CTCCTGATTTCTGGTCTGTTTTGAATCTCACTGAAGCCTGTGCGATGTATAATCGTGTGCCTGTTCTTGCCAACCTGCCTTCTTCTTTTTTTTTTTTTTTAGCGAAGTGGCCACCGAGGTGCCGTTCCGCCTCATGCACCCCCAGCCCCAGGACCCAGGTCAGTCATGCAGTGCCCTGGGCTTTCTCTGGTCACTTAGTGCTTGCAGATTTATTACGTGTTTGTTGCTAGGATTTCTCGACCCTGTCACTGAGCCTGGGTTGGCTGTGGCATCCTCAAGGTGCCTGGGCCAGCCCAGGAAGCGGTGCTCATCTTTGAGTCATGAACTAGGTGCCTCTCCATCTTCAGTCAGTGCATGGAGGACATAGCAGCCCTGCACTTGGACACGGGCTATCTCACTAGGCTTCATCAGGAATGATTTCAAAGCAGAGGTTCTACCGTGGACAGACCTGGATTTAGATTTAAAGAAAGTTTAGGTGAAAACTAAATTAGTGAGCCTGAGCCTTTTGTATTTCATTTGGAAATATTAACAGGCATTTAGAAGACGGGGAGTATTCTTGACAGTGTCAGGTGCAATGAGAATACAAAAAATGCTGGAAAAGAAGGTCAAGCTGGGTTCCTGACACTGTGGCTCCTTTGAATTCTAGATCTGTGAGCTTGCGTATGGTTGTTAATAGTAAAAGAAGCAATGGTTATGCAACTCTGCGAATATTCTAAAAACCATTGGACCGTATATATGAATGGGTAAATTACACGGTCTGTGAATTAGATCTCCATATAGCTCTTTTAAAAAAGAGAATGAAGCAGCAAAAATAATGTAGGTGAAATCTCAGAAATTCTGAGGGAACATTCTCCACTGTGTGTTGAGTGGCTTAGTTGTCAGGACAGAAAAATGGACCTGCCTGAATGAGAATTCTCCATAGTCACAGTAATAAAGAGTATTTTAGGTAGAAGTGCTGTAAATAAGCAGGATTTCTTTTTCTTATACTTTATATAGAGCTTTTCTACATTGATAATGAAATAGCATTTCAACAGTAGAATGAGCCCCTAGATTCATTTTGGGTTTGTCTCAAAAATATTTTGTCTCCAAATATCTTTTCCAAGTAGTTTGGATTCAAATGCTCTGTGAACTTTGCCAAAACCTTCCCTTGGGGGAAAAAATACAGTCTAGCCATATTTTAAAAATTCATTTATACTTGTGTCATCAAAATGCTATTTTATAACTATATGAGATTAAGATGCATTCTGGTCCCTTTCAAGGATGTTTTCAAAGGCACAAACCCCTTTTGGGGTCTTTTTATACACACTCCATAGTTTTAAACTATGACATGAGGCGATGTCACAGTTTATGTCAGATTGTTTCCTGGAACTAAGAACAGACATTATGACTGCACTTGGGGGAAACGGCGTTATTCCTCTTTTGGGTGTGACATTTTCAAGTCCCAGTCATTCTGGCTCTTATGGTGAATGTATCATGTATCCAGATGCAACAGCGATCTTTTGTACTGTGAGGTTTCAGGGGGAAAGGACAAGTCACCCCGTGGCCTTGATATTCTGATTTCCAGGGATTTGTGAGTCACCAAGTTTTATTGGTGGATATGTGCTCACGTCTTACCTGCCTAGGTCCCCGCTCCCTGTTCTAGGTGGCAAACCCTAAGCAGAGAACGCGGAAGTTGCAAGGCCGGTGACCAAGTAGTTTGCGCGTAGTGAGTGGTATAGAAATGCTATCAAGCTTTTTTGTCCCTTGTGGAGAGCGTCCACACAGAATGCTGGTTGTTGATTTGAATCTCGCCAAGGCTCATGGTCCTGGTTAGCATAATTTTGTGCTTGGCGCTGTGGGGGTCCAGGATGCTTCTTGCCCAGGGGATGTTTTGATGAGTCAGCCTTTTCATGGATCCCCCTGTGGTTAGCAGCTCACAGAGATGGGGAAGGTTTGAAGTGGACCAGGGGCCCGGGGACTCTGATCTAGACTGGGCCGAGGGACACGCAGGGTGAGGTGCTTGGAAAGGGAAGCATGACATCAGAGGGGGTGAGGCTAACCAGGGAAACGGGCCTGGAGGTGAGGTTGGCTTGTTCCCTTTGAGCAGGTGAGGGGTGTGGCACTTTATAAAGGAAACGATGGTTAAAAATGCAGGGAGAAAGGCTCTCAGAGCAGAAAAGGCAACGAAGCAGGAATTACACACAATTATCGTGAAATGCATGTGTCTAGGCCTTTTATCCCTCCAACTGTCAATCACTAAACAAGGAAGACGTTTTCCAGGTACAGCTATTATACGGAATTTACGCTAATCTCTCTCTCTCTCTCCCCTCCCCGCTTCATTCCATGCTACAGCAATGGCAAAGGAAAGGTGAGCCACTGCCCTACACTGCCCTGTGTTCTGTGACTTCCTCCTCTGGCACAAACCCCTTTTCGGGTCTTTTTGTACACACCCCATGCTCTGGGCGCTGGTTCAGGGCCCTAGTTTTCCTTTCGCGGCTTAGGACTGAGGCGGGTGCGTGCGCTCGGATGTGCTCTGTGCAGCTCTGCTCCCTGGGTTTTTTCTTATTTTTGTTCGTTGAAGAGATTTTTCCATGAGCAGCTATGAGGACAATGGCCGCGTGTTCCATCCCGAGGAAGCTCTTGATTGGTTCCTTTGTTGCCAGAGGAAAATCGAGGGTCTTGTTTTGCTCGAGATTTCATCGCAAGCTTCAAAGAGCGTGCCACGATCAGAATGTTCTTGGTTTCCTTTTAGTTTTCAGGATGAAAATTTGGTTTTTGAGGATTTCGCTCGCCAAAATCTGAAAGACTCAGGAGACCTCGAGGAAGGGAAGAAAGTCGAGGAGGCGGCTGTGGACGAGTGAAGAGGTTGCCGGGGACTCCAGAGACGGGGTCGTCAGCCGCGGGATGAGCAATGCTCTAGTTAGCCCTTTAGTTGTGCTAAATACCAAAGTATGAGTCTCTTCACAGAAATAAAGTTTGTTCTGTTTGGTCGTGAGTCAGGCTGACTTGTTGGGGAGACTGTGACATCACGGCAGGAAGCTGCAGCCTTTAGGGTCCCTGAGTCTCAGGGTGGGGGGGGGGTGGCATCTAGAAAAGAGGCCAGCCTTCCACAGACTGGCAATGTGGGAAGGTGTGGAAATCTCTACTTAGCTTTGGGGTCTTATGCATCCTGGGCTTTCTCCAGGGGTCCCATGTAAGCTGTTTCCCTGGAAACATGTGGGGGGCGGGTACTGTTTCTAAAGATCTGACCAGTCCCAGCTCTGGGCCCTCCATCTCTGAGGACAAATGTGGGCTAGACACACTTCATCACTGATTCAACATCCCCGGCCGAGTCCCTGTTTGAGCTCTGGCTGTTGGTTAAGTTTCTAACAAATGCAAGCGATGAAATCAGATTTGGCTAATTTAAGAAGGAAAGAGGAATGCATTGGAGGGCCTTGGAAGGGCTCAGAGAACTGAGTTAAAGGAAGAACCTGAGCTGCCAGGCCTGGAGTGGAAAGATCGCAGAGGCTCCAGGGGTCCCTGCCCAGGAGCTCAGGGTCCAGCCCTCTAGGGCAGCCATTCACCTGGCACCAAACATCCCCAGTCAGGGTGTCTCTGGTCCCAGTGTCAGTCCTGGGCAGGAGAAACTGACCCGTACAGCTTTGGTCAAGTGGGTCAATGCACCGTGGCCAATGATGGCAGAGCCTGGTCCTAGGAATGCATTGTTTCAGAGGAGGGGGTTCATTGTGAGGCCAGCGGGCTTCTTGGCCAGAGTATATAGATGGAGATTGGGCTTAGATGGGGTAGAGGAGGGAATGTAGTGCGTCAGAGGAAATCAAGGTGATGCCATGCCCTGCCCGCTTGAAATCAAGGTGATGCCATGCCCTGCCCGCTTCGTGGCAGCCCCTTTCTGGCCTGTGGTACCCACCAGCCTGGAGGCCTGCTGTCAAGGCAGAGAGACTGAATTGGCTCTCTCGGTGGCGAGAGAGGGGCTTGGGGGATGTGTAAGCCCTGGCCTATGCTTCAAAGAGCAGGATCAAAGGAGTTTGGAGAGTTCCGCACAGGTCAACCTACTCCCAGGAGGTCAGGGGTGAACCGGAGGGGTCATGTGTAGGGTGGACACTTGGGATCAGGTCTCCAGCACCAAGGGCAGTGGCAGAGGGCTGCACAGCAATGTGGGCTCCCTGCACGTGAGGGCTCCCATAGCGGGGGTTGTTCCGCCAGGCTGGTGGTTAGTGTCCTGGGAACTGGGATTTCGACCAGAAGCTACAGCCCGTTTACACAAAGCAAGGTTTGGACTCGTGTGCTGAGTTTGAGGCATCCTGACATTGGCAGGGCTGAAGATTCATTTCTAGAGGAATAATGATAATAACGACGATAATGATAATGCAGGCAGAAGACTGGACCTTTGGCCTGCGGGTGTGCAGTTCAGACATTCCTTCTTCGTTTTTTCTCCGGTGCTGAGGAAGCAGCACTTCACCATTCCAGCCCAGGCCCCTCTCTCAGGATACTCAGAAAAGGGACGTTCGGGGCGGAGCTGCTCTGGCATCTGAGCCCTTCCCCTCTCTCCCGCCCCCAAGCTCAGAGGCCTCTGAGGTTGGCTCCTGTAGGAGATACTGGGCTAGTCGCGGACCTGGGAGTCTGCCTGGCAGTGCCTGGTGAAAGGACCAGCCTGTTGGTTCCTGCATTGCTTGACCCCAGGATATCCTAAGTCAGGGTAGGTGTTAATAGGCTCGACCTTTGGAACTGTGTGGGCGGGAGAGCCGGAGAAGAGCTGAAAGGCCAATCCCTGGAGACCAGAGGTCAGAACAGCCCTTGCCCTCCCGGTTATTTTGGTACCAAAACAGACGCTGGGATTTCCAGGTGCTGGCTGGTTTATGGCCTGCAGCTGGCCACCCTGGGAGGGTGTGGGGGTGGGAGCAGGAAGTGAAGTGAGCAGCCGGCCAGCTCCAACAGGGATGTGGAACTTTGCCTCGCTGGGCCTACACACATGTGGTGTTGTGTCTGCTGGACGTTCCCTGGCGTGTCAGGAGGGAGGATGTCCGTGTGCAGGTCAGATGTGTGGCCCAGGGTTGTCCAGGTAGGTGCAGCGGGGGAAACGGGGTAGAAAGGAGTTGATCGAGTGGGCTGCATGGAGAAAGTGGTGGCTGAAAACTTGGGATATAGTTTTGCAATCAGCAAACAAAGGGCCAGCCCTGCTGTTTATTGAGCACCTGCCTTGTGCTGGGCACTTTCCATGTTACACGTAATCATTCCAACCATGCTCGTCAGCTGGTTCTGTCCTTCCCTTTGTTAGATGAGGAGACTGCAGGTCAGAGAGGTTGTGTGCCAGTTCACACAGCTAGTCAAGACTTGAACTCTGCTTTCGCTGAGTCTATAACCAGACCTCTGCTCTGTAAAACTATTGCAGGCTGCCCCAACCAGGATGCCAACTTTGGTACAATTCCCCCGTCTTCAGTTTATCACCTGTGTAAATAGTTAACTTCTTTTTATTTATTATTATTTACACCTATGGCAGCTATTCTTCCTAATTGGTCTCCCATCCAAGTACTAACCAGGCCCGACCCTGCTCAGCATCCGTGATCAACATCGGGCTTGTTCAGGGTGGCATGGCCGTAGACCATGGACCGTGGCTCCACTGGGGCGCGAACCCAGGACCTTCTGCGTGTAAAGCAGACGTGCTCACCGCTACACTATAGAACCATGTTCAATAGTTAACTTTTTGCAATGTCTGTTTTCCTGCTCCTTCTACATTTTCCGATGCTCTCCTCCCCATCTAATGGCACATCCCTAACGGTTTGCTTTACTGATCTTTGAGGGTGGGGTAGATGGGGAGATGGACACATTTGGAAATATATGGGGGTGGTTCGGGTTGTCACAGTGCCTAGGAGCCAGGGAAACTATATGTCACACACAGCGAAGAAACGTCCCACTCCCGGATGTCAATCATAAGCCTAGTTCAGGTGCACCGTTTTTCTGTTCTAACGGGAAGCGATTCTTTTTGACGGGAGGTGCACTTCTGTGTTGACAAGTCAAGAAGAAGGATTAGGTTGGATGTGAAGTGTGTTATTACTGCCACCTTGCTATGCCCTCAGGGCGGGGTAAACGCAGGGAGCAGCATGTTGTTAGAGATGATTCACAGCATGACTCACGCCATAAAGAGGCACCAGGAGAATGTGCCCTTGCAGGCCTGCTACTCCAGGGGAGATCTCCAAGGGAACAGCGCTTTGCGGTGGCTGCAGAACATAAAGACTTCTTCGCTCATCAGAGAAATATCCCAGAGTTATGTTTCTCTGATTTAAGAACATAATATAATTCTTACCAAGCCGAATACGCTTTTAAAAAATACACTTTTTATTTTCAAATAGTTTTAGATTATCAGCAAAGTTGACAAGATAGTACAGCTCTTCCACGTACCCCGTATCTCTCATTATTAACATTTTACATTAGGATGATACATTTGCCACACTTAATGAATCGATATGGACATATTGTTAGACTAAAGCCCATTCTTTACTCAGATTTCCTTAGTTTTTACCTAATTTTTTGTTGTTGTTGTTCTAAGATCCCACATGACATTTAGCCGTCATGTCTCCTTAGGCTCTTCTTGGCTGTGACAATTTCTAGAACTTTTTCATAGTTGCAAATATCCTCCCATCTCTCACTTGCACTCATGTTCCTGCCTGTGGCATTTTGCCTCTAAAACGATGGGTTCTGGAGCCCAGATGTCCCCTGAGCTTCTAACAGGTATAGGCCACAGCACATTCGGGTACTTCAAACTCATTTTTTTCAAGACAAAATTCATCTCCTTCATATCCTCTAGGCCTGCTCGTGCTCCGTGAGGTTCATCTCCCTGGAAGCCCCACATCCAGGAGGCGTCCTGACTCGTCCTGCTCCCTGACCCCCTGGGTAGCAGCTGGTCTCTTTTCTTCCCTCCTTTGCTGTGTCACCTCCTCTCCACCTTGATGACCACCACCTTGTTCTGGCCATCAGCATGGCCTGGATGGGCAAATCACTCTTTAATGCCCTCTCTGTTTCTGGTCTTTCCTGCTCTGGACATATTACCTCTTCTGCTTTTTCAGCAGCCTCGAATGCAATGTCCTTGGGGTAATGCCTTGCTCCTGGCGGCAGCACAGAGGCTGCTCTGGGTCCTTCTGTAGATGCCGGCCCTCCTGGGTTCCTTGCTCCACCTCGATCACAAGCAAATCCAAAACTGTCATACTCTCAACTTGCCTAACACTCTCCTGCCCTTTTATGTTTTTCTGGAAAAATCGCCTCCATCTCCTTGCTTTTCTACTGAAATCTCCAAACCCTGCTAGGGTCTCTCTTCCTCTTGAGAGCTTCTCCTGACTGAGTTAGCTCATTCTCCCCTAGACAGATCCCTCCCCGGGTTTTTGCATTCTTGTATCATACTGTATCACACTATATTGTAATTAATCGATACAAAATGACCAACTTCTGCAGGAATCAAGGCACCCTTCCCTTTGTGCCCTTAGTCTCCTCCAGCTGCCATAACAAAGCACCACAGACTAGGGGCTTTAAGCAACAGAAATTTTCTCCTCATTTTGGAGGCCTGAAGTCTGAAATCAAGGTGTCAGCAGAGTTCATTTCTTCTGAGACCTCTTTTCTTGGCATGAAGGTGGCCGCCTTCTTTCTGTGTCTTCACCTGGTCTTCTCTCTGAGCCTGTCTGCATCCAAATTCTTATAATGACACCAACCATATTGGATGAGGGCCCATCAAATGGCCTCCTTAATCGTAAACCTGGGGGTTAGGATTTACGACATATGAATGTTGGGGTGGGACACAATTCAGCTCACAAACAGGGCCCTTCTCTCTTCTTTCTTCCTTCAAGCTCTTTGGAGCTCAGCTTGCTGGGGGAGC